GCGGTTCTAAATCTTTTTAGATTCAAGGAACCCCTTATTAGATTCAAAGCACCTAGCAAAAAACGCCAGCGTGTTTTGCTGACAACCAAAAAGTGGGCATAATTGTTCTGTTGCAAAGAGCTCAGAAAGCCCATAAAATACCAGAATTTTTTTCGACACTAAGGATTCCTATGTGAAACCTGTGGGTTTATCTTAATAATGTTCATGGACTTGATAGTGCTAATGTTGTGTGGCACCTTGAGCACTCCTGAAGAAGATATCAAAGCACCCCGTGGTGCTGCAGCACCCTGCTTGAGAATCACCGTCTTCGAGTAACACTGTAGCTCTGAAGGTCTGGGAAATATTTAAGTAGCAAAGATTTCTGTGGGCCATGTTTTTTAGGGGAGCAACTGCATGGCTTTTAGGGGAGCAATTGCATGGACACGCTTTTGAACACAGCGCATTCTGCATTCTTAAGAAACTAAGAGCTACCATTTACTGGGTCAGACCAGAGGTCTGTCTTGGCCAGTATCCTGCATCACACCAAGCAGAGATTGGATGCAGGGTGTTTTCCCCTGTTCTTCTCTCACTTGCAGCCTCCAGCATTTAAACTGTAGGAATTTTTGATTCAGAGGCTGTGCTCCTGACTCCCATGCTCAAAAGCTACTGATGCCTTTTATTCAGGAATTTGTCCCATCCCTTTTTTGAACCTGGCTGAACCGTCAGCTTCCACAATATCTGTTGGCAACGAGTTCCACACTTGAAACGTGTAACAAAAAGATAGCCTGTGTGAAAAAAGAATTGCCTCTTGTTTAAAATTACTACCTACTGATTTCATTTTGCAACCTTTAGCTTTTGTCTAAAAGCTAGCAAGTGATTAAGCCTTATTTACTTGCTCTTCACCATTTCAATTTTTTTTCTTTTTTAAACTGTACAGATGTAACCACTGTAGCCTCTCCTCATATGGACACCTCTCCATACTGCTAATCACCCTTGTTGCCTTTCTCTGGGCCTTCTCCAGTTCTTCTACATCTTTTTTGAGGTGTGGGGTGCAGAACTGGGCACAGTGGTCAAGGTGTGGACACATCATGGATTTATACAGGTACATAATGAGACTTTTCATTTTGTATACAATTTCCTTCCCAACATTTTGTTTGCCATTTTGAGGGCTGCAGACCTCCGAGCTGATGTTTTTAGCAAACCAACTGTCCACAACAACTTCCAAATCTGTTTCCTGTGTGGTCACAGCTAGGAGAAAAATCAGAGTGTAAGCAGTTTTTGCCCATGTGCATCACTTTACGCTTATGTATACTTCACACTATCTACTTACCTGAATTTCATCTTCCATTTAAATTGCTTATTTGCTCAGTCGTACCAGATCCTTCTGCAAGTGCTCACAGTCTGCCTGTGGGTCTTCATCACTTTGAATCATTTTGTTAAACACAAATCTGGCCACCCCCACACCACTGTCCACCCTTTTCCAGATCATTTACGAATATATGAAACAGGACCAGTCCCAAAACAAATCCCGCAAGGGAATTTCACTGCTTACTTCTTTCCATCCCCAGAAAACAACTGTTTATACGTAACCCTTTTGCTTCCTATCCTGAAATCAACAAAACCAGGACAGGGCACAGAAACCAGAGGTGTGGACACAGCACAGATTTATCAAGAGGCATGAGATACTTTCACTTTGGAAAGTGAAACACGGCCCACTGACAAAAGGCTGAAGGAACTAGGAGTATTTGGTTTGGAGAAGAGAAGTGGGGGGG